GTGTGTGTGTGTGTGTGTGTGTGTGTGTGTGCCCCCCTGTGCTCCAGTGTCTGTTAGCTACTCAGGTTAGCCGCCTGGCTCAGAGGAACCGGGGCAGCTTGTCGTGACTTCTCAAAATCCACGTATCACGGCATGTTCACAATCAGCCCCTTGCACTGTGACTCATGTAATGACCATGGCTGACTCACCACCAGCAGCTCGAACTCTCATCGTGGAGAGAAGTGTAGTAATATGTGTAGTTTCACTTCGTTAGAAGTTGTTTTTTTTTAGTCTTTATTTGACATCATAAGAATAACGCTTCAAACAATTCACAGTGCATCCGTTATTTTTGCATAAAGGAGGGAGGAGATGCTGATGGAGAGTAAACCTGAACAACTTGTCTGTCTGGGGTTATTTTCTCAGATCAGTGTTCAGTTGTATGTTGTTTACTGAGAGAGGAGGGGGCTTTGCTTCAATGCAACGCTTCACTGTGCTGCAGGCACAGCCATTCATTGAGCAGAGGTGGGGGCTTAGTTTTGCAGCAAAGGGTTTTTAATTATATGAATTACCTCTTGGGCTTGGACTCATCAAATATCTGAGATCTGTTGTGTTGATGTTCCCTTTGAAATCACAACATCAGGGCAGATTTCATTTGGACATGTATTTATGCACATTCAACATACTAGAACGCATTCTGTTGTTAAATTAAAAATAAGGTTTGTAGAAACATATACTGTCAAAGTCAATAATCACAACAGTTTCATTAATTAAACATTTGTGTCATTGATCATAGAAAGCCAGGATGTCTGGAGAACTGTCCCTCAACATCAACATCAAGGAGCCACGATGGGACCAAGGCACATTCATGGGGCGTGCCAAGCACTTCTTCATGGTCACAGATCCAAGGACCGTCCTGCTGTCCTCTGAGACCCTGGATGAGGCCAAAGTGATTGTGGAGGACTACAGGTAGAGTGTCAGGAGGTAGAGGATGGGGTGGGAGTGTAACGGGTTATGTTAAGGTGAGTTGATTGGTGTGAGGCATGGATAGAAATAAGCAAAGGTAATAACACCAGTGTTCCTTCTTTAATGGGGCAATGTGACTCAATTGCTAGTTGTTGACAAATAGTAAGTAAAACTCACATATCAGGTCTATGTCCTGTGAAGTAAAGACTCAATCTCTTCACCTTCTTGCCTTTCACCAGAGCTGGCAATGCGAAGCCTGGCCTGACGGAGGACGAGCTGTGGAGAGCCAAGTACATCTATGACTCTGCCTTCCACCCCGACACTGGCGAGAAGATGTTTGTGATCGGGCGGATGTCAGCTCAGGTGCCAATGAACATGTCCATCACAGGCTCCATGCTCACCTTCTACAGGTACAGCACATTTTTCATTTTTTTCTGAATGCAAAAAACAAGATTTATGATTTATAATAAAGAAATGGAAATCTGTGATTGGCCAAAATGAAAAATTAATGTGTCTGACAGTTTCCATTTGAATGTTATTTGAACTGTATCGCAGTAATGCATAAAAATAGAGATTTGAATTCCTGCAGAGTGAAAATCCTCTTAAAGAATTGCTCCTGAAAACTGATAAATCACTGGGCTGCTGAGACAATAGTGAAGCCATGTGATAATTGTTTTACTTACTAATGTGTTAAAATATGTCAAAATATTTCACTTATAATTGTATTTTTTAGTGGATTTTGGTAGCAGTGCACACAGAGGGTGCTAAAGTCTGAAATTTCAGATTGATAGTGGCACATTGTGGCATTATTAGTAAAGTTGGCACAACAAAGAAAAGATATGTTTATCTGAGAAGAGAACAAACGAAATACTTTTACACACATCACATCAGAGATAGGTTTGTATCTTAATCAAAATCTCAATGTGAAAGTATAAATACAATGTTTCACATCAGCAAGAAGAATGAGGGTGTTAAATAAATAAATACATTTGTGTTTATACAGCAACACTCAGTTCACGTCTGTACAATATCACCATAATGTTAACTTAATACAAATATTGTTTTTAGCCCAAGTGTAGGATTAATTTTGAATGATAAATTGTGACATTTTACATTAAAGAAGAGAAAAGAAAAGTCAGTACAACCTTGACTTTAAATATTCACATGTCCACCCTTTTGAAGCATTTTCGGGGTATTTCAATAGAACTGCGTGTGATTTCTTTCACTGTGGTGTCAAATGTAAGACTATAGTTATTACTGAACACAGTGTGAAATCTCACTTCCTCGATGTTCCCTCATGTTTGCAGGACTACTCCGGCTGTGGTGTTCTGGCAGTGGGTTAACCAGTCCTTCAACGCTGTCGTCAACTACACTAACCGCAGCGGAGATGCCCCCATCACCGTGAAGTAGGGAGGACTTTTCACCACACATCCACTCTAGATCATTCCTGTCCTCCCCCAATACTAATGTCTGTAAGGAGGCTGTGGGAGCTGCTGTCCTCTCCCCTACCCTCACAGCGGTATTACGTTCCACTGTTAAGCATGTTCAGCCCCATGTGACCATGCACTCATGTTGACGTAGGTTCAGTGCTCCCAGTCGATGTCAGGCCAACTTGCATCTGCATTCTCTTCTCATTCTGCCAGAATTTGCATCTTTCAGATACTGCAGAAATGCATGAGTTCAGGACATGCTAATGCATAATCATGGATTAAGCATGTCAGTGAGGACAAATGTCACAGTGTCTTCGTCTGCTTTTTTTCATTTGTAAAATGTTCTTGTGTATTAGCCCTTGCATATTAATACATAGCATGAATTTGCACCGTAAGTGATACGACTATTAACTGAAATATTTCACTCAATTGTAACCGACAGATCACCAGCTGTGCTCCTCGTGTGCTATTAATGACATGTTTAAAGATGAAAATTCTAAAAGAGGAGGTTGGTTAGTAACGTATGTTTCTGATGCATCCGTCCTTTCACAGTCAGCTCGGCGCAGCCTACGTCAGTGCTACTACTGGGGCTGTAGTCACTGCCTTGGGACTCAAGTCTCTAGCTAAGGTAATAATGCCTGCAGCTCCAGTGAATCCTCACATCGAGTGATGTGTAACTGAGATACAGACGCACTGATCTCTGTGTATATTTGCATATTAGTGCATCAAATACTGTTTTTCTGACCGTGTCATGGTTTCAACCCCATCTTTGCAGAGTCTCCCTCCAATCGTCAGCCGCTTTGTCCCCTTTGCTGCGGTTGCTGCTGCTAACTGTATCAATATTCCCTTCATGAGGCAGAGGTAAGAGCTGTAACATAAAGCTTTCAGTAGCTTTTAGAGATTGTGACAGCTGCTCTACATAACTTTTGTGCTTGCTTCTACCAGGGAGTTGAAGTACGGTATCCCTGTGACAGATGAGAATGGAAACAGGTTAGGAGAGTCCCCTAACGCTGCCAAGCAGGCCATCATGCAGGTGGTGGTGTCAAGGATCGGAATGGCAGTACCAGCAATGGGTAAATAATTTATTGATTTGATAAAGCAGCTGTAATTAATATTTTTATGATGACAATCAGCTGCTCCCTTCAGTTTTATATAACTTAAGTGAGGTTCAGCTCATGTTAGGCTGCCCAGCCCACAACTTATCAGTTTTTGTTTCACTCTCAGTGGCCTGACTGCCTCAGCAGAAAACCTTATTTTCCAGTGTATGCACTTCAAAACTGCACTTCATACTTCCTGGTCAGACAGAGTTAGGGAGTAGCTTGTGAACATAGTGGAGCATTTATCAGTTAAAGAGTCAGATATTCTTCTCAGGAGCTGGAAGAGACCAAAATCAGTGAGTGAGACATAACACCTGATGTACACTCAACTAATCCCCCCCCACTGATCGATGCCAATCATCAGCTGACTCATCCTGAATGTTAAACTGTTGAAAGTTGAAATAACTTGTCATCGCTAAAGTGACATTTATCTTCTTCTTTGCTTTTGTTCACGAAGCAAAACACTTCTCATTCTTTGTTATAATTTTCTTACAGCCATCCCTCCGGTTATAATGAACGCTCTGGAGAAGAGAGCTTTCATGAAGGTGAGCAGACTGCATGACTATCATATATGTTTGTTTTGACTGTGGTTTTACTGGTTGTTCTGGTGTTCGTGCTCGTGAAGGTGATAAATGAGTCCTGTCACATTCCACATGATACACAGTCCTGTGTTTTGTCTCTCCGTAGCGATTCCCAATTCTAAACGCTCCAGTCCAGGTGGGGCTTGTCGGCCTGTGGTAAGTTATTTCAATTCAATTTTATTTGTATAGCGACAAATCATAATATACATTATCTCAAGGCACTTTACATAGAAGGTCGAGACCTTATGCACCAGCCTCATTTGCACCAGCACTATCTATGGTGATGTTTTTCTATCATCTGTAACTAACAAACCGTCCCTCTCTACATCTTATTTTCAGCCTGGTGTTTGCAACTCCTCTGTGCTGCGCCCTGTTCCCACAGAAAAGGTACAGTCTCTTTCACATCACGCTCATTGATACGTGTGTGTGTTAACTAAACTGTTGCAGCAAATTAAACTTGTTCAATAATCTCTCTGTAGCTCTATGAGTGTAAGCGGGCTGGAGGCGGACCTGCAGGAGAGGATACGACAGACCAGTCCCAACACCACCACCGTCTACTTCAACAAGGGCCTGTAGGACCAGCCAACACATCTCCACACATGCACGAGACACGCAGACACGCACACATATATGCACATGTCAGCTGTCCTGTGGGCACAAGTGGGAGGGCAATACAAGATTAATTTATGCATTTTTTGTTGTTGGTGTGTGTAACTGGTGTATTTTTGTTTTTAAAAAATTTGACTGCGCGGAGATGCTCCAATTGTAAGAGCGGATGCTGATCATTATTGGGAGGATTCACTGAAGGGAAAACGAAACACTTTGAGAAGGAACATCACTGACAGTTCTCTCTCTACATACATGACACTCCTTAGAAAAGACAAAGTGACTCCTTTATAAAATTGTGTCGTGTTTTCTGTCTTTGTTTAGTCGAAACTGCCTCGTCACTGGTGGCACTCGCTGATTTGTGTTCTCATTTATATATCGTTGCATTCAGTTCATACCAGTCCTATGATAGATGCTTTCAACTCCAGGTTAAAATGAAGACCAGCGCTTGTGAGTCATTTATGTAGTTTCTCCTGAATGTGGCATAAATGTTACGATTATTGTAAGATGGTTCAACTTTTCCAATTCTTCCCTCGTCATCCTCACATTATTCTGTTTTGATATTTTATGTTATTACACATTAACTATGGTTTGTTTCAATTGTTGCAGTTACACAGGAACAAAAGTTGTGTTAGTCTTCCCTGAATAGTTCAAGCTTCGATGAATAAGTTCCTCTTCTGTTGTTCTCTGCTTCCTTGTTATTCGTTGCACCTCTCTTCATCTCTCCTTCAAGTGTACTTATGCTCCTCCGTTCTCTCAGACCAGACAATGAGGTGCTAGGTATATGTGGCACATGTGTAGGAATCGTATGACAAGAGCTTAGTAGAAAGCGTCAGAGAGTCTGATGACTGTGTTCTCTGTCAGCGTAAATATGTGCTGTAGCCATGGCAGCCTGTTTCTCAAGGCCTTTAATTATTTGCGATCACCATATGAACTAGTGCAGTCGCTAACTGTAGTAGCATATTGATGAGTTCTTTGATTGTTGTAGGTGATGTCTGTGGCTGTTAGGTGGAGAAGAATTTCCTATGTTGTGATGTTTTGTCGCCAAGAGGAAATGTGATGATCAGACCACAGACGATGTTTCGCTGGAATAATGCAGGAACTTTGCAAAAAAACTCCAGTTTGTTGGATTTATAGTTCGAAACACAGGGTTATTATGTGCAGCAAACCGCCAGCCATCTGCACTCGAGCCACTGATGTTCCATTGTACCAAATGAACGTAGCTAATGTTGTGTGATGAAGGTAAAATATTGAATACTTGTAATATCCAGGTCGTGTGCGCGCACAGTATTTGTTGATGCTTTGGACAGTTTGGCCGAGTTTCCGCTTCTCTAATCAAACTCGTTCACGTTGTTGACCAAGCTCTCAAACACAAACACACAGCTGTCTGTCGTGATTAGATAGTGATGATGGTGAACGTGAGGACGTATCAGCTCAGTTTATTCCAGTGCTCTCTGTCTGAGGGATGTAAGAATAAGTATATTTTTCTTGGATGTATTTATAGAAAATATCTATACTAAATATATATATATATTTGATGTTTAATGTATGGAACACATATGCATGAGGAATTTTAGAGATTCTAACTTGAAGGAGTGCCTCTGTTTGCAAATCCACCAGATGGCCACATATATGCATCAGAGACCATGTCAGCTGCTTGTGTTACAGGAGCAGAGTTTAATAAGCTGCTGCTCCTCCCGCTCTGGGGCTAATGAGCTCTCACTTTAGAAGAATGAGAAAAGTCACAGATCACTAACTATGAGTCAATGTTTGAGTAAAGTGTTGTTTCATGTACAGAAGAAAAACTAAACCCAACAGTACGAATGTACAAGTGGAGCTCATCCTTGAATTCATCTCCATCAAGCATCACGTGAGTCACTTGAGTTTGTTTCGGAAGTTTGAGGTTGAACTTTACAATAACAGGATTGTAGCAACTGTCAAACAGTTGCATCTTGAAATACGTGATTGTGTTTTGTGTGTGATCCTGTAATTCAATGGTTTCAATTACAATACAATTCAGATACCTCTCCTAGAAGAGTCTTGATATGACTCCAGACTTCTGTATGAGAAAGATTTATTTTCATGACTCTTACATGACGTACTTCACATTTTCCAATTAGACTCTTCTTCCAACTGCTCACTTTACTCACTTTCATATTAACATTTAAACCTGGAGCAACAATCAAACTGTCTCTGTATCGTTCATGGGAACAGACGTTGGTTTCTGTCTTAATCCCTCTTCATCTTCCGTAACACTGACTGGTGCTGCTCATTAATACTTATTTGTGTTTCTGTGCTAAATGTTGCCATTGTGCGTTGTGTTTGGGTTGTTTTCCTTCTGAGAGAAAAACTGCACTATATAACCTTTGCTGTGCTGCTGTAGTAACTTGTTGCATATGTGTTGCAACTTAAAAAAAGCTTCTTAAAATATATATTCGAACATTATATTTGTTTATTGTGGTGGTTAATGTTGAATGAGTCCTGTTACTGCTAAGTCATTCTTCATCTATTAGCTCAGTTTCTGCTGTTTCCTGTTATTTTCTGCTGTTTGAATTGTAACACACAAATGTCAAGAACAAAACTGGACAGTTATTGTGAGCATTTAAGGACACGTGTGTCTCAGCTTGTCGCATTCATAGATCGAGCCAAAGATGAGACGGGTGAGAATTATACAGGATGGAGAGGAGTTTGAAGCTTTTTAATGTTTTTGTTTCAGCTTTGTGGTACGGACCTTGTTCCAAGCTTTTACTGATCAAAAACATGTTTTAGTTTTTATAGAAGTGATCCTCGTTGCAAAATTTAATTTTTTCAACAACATCAAAATACATCGGTATCCACACAAAGTCAACAGATAAAAATCTCAATAGGCATGAATTTTATTTATATCACAATAAATCTGACTTTATTACACATTTAAAATTTTGGTTGTGCATGTTATGAAAAAGAAAAGGTTAATCTTTGCTAACTGAAAGCCAATGTAAAGACAATCTGTGACACTCATGAATGTTTGTTGTTGTTTCATGTTCATAAGTCTCCACAATATTGGATCAGTGTTTCCTCCCCTTTATTTTGTATTGTGTTGCTGTGACATGTATTTTACTTCGAACAACTGAATAAAAAGTGTAACATTCATGTTTAAACTGTCCTCTTATTGAGATACTATTAAATATTGTATGTAATAAAAAAATGTTATTGTAATTTTGGCTTCAGCTCTCAAGGAATAGAAGTTTAGGTGAATGTTACTTTAGGAACAATCTTTAATGTTAAGTTGGTGCCATAGTGAAACAGATGTTGGCCCCAGCAGGATACACAAAAAGGATTTAAATCTGACTGTTTTTGTTTTAGATGTCTGACGTTAAAATAATTCACAGCGTTGTTTTTTCATTGAAATGTTTGGACCCATCTCCTCCAGCTTTTAACAGTAAATGGGAACTTTTCCCTCCGTTTTCAGCCTCAGTGTGTGACAATCTTTTTCTGTTGTAAATTCAAAACTTGAATAATGGACAGATTTATATACTAGAACATCTGTGTTCAGAATACAACTTTGTTTTGCACATAAAAACATGACCACAGTGAAAATATGGTGATGAGGTTATTTATTGATTTTATCTTCTGCTGTTAGTACACACCCCTGTGCAGAAATACACAATATCTGTCTAACACACACATAAAAGCTTCAGCTGCTTCAGGCAGCACAAACTCTCCTCCACATGGCGACAGAGGCTGAACATTTGTGTGTTTGTGCATCAAACCTGTTCCTCTCAATGCTGAGTTTAGAGTCAGGTTGTCATTATTACACACACACGCGCACACACACCTGTCAACCATGTTTGAGACACATTTATGCACCGGAGCAGGAGAAGCAAACAAAACAACAGGAACTTCATTAAAAATTTCAAGTGAACTTAAAAGTAATGCACGATGTACCTGAATGAGAACGCTGCCTTTAAATCCCTACCTCTTCATAATACCCGTTTTAAAGAAACTTCTAAAGTGTCTGCGGAGGTAAAGAGAAATACTCTATTACTGTCCCTCTTCTGTATTTCATTGCTGTTTTTGTAAACGAAAGTAAATTAATGTGATGTTAGACAACATAAACATATGTCAAAGTTATTGTAATAATCATAATTCAGTGATGGGTGGACTCAGCACGTCAAACTGAAAATTTGAATACTACGCAGTTCTAGTTGTGATCTGAATCCAGCATGCTCTTTGAAGGATTTATTTGGCTGGAACAATTTTCTTGACGGCCTCTAAAACATCTGCAGCATCCACTTTATTTCCAAACTCCTTCTCGCGATGTTCCAGGAGAATCCCCTGCAAAACACAACATGCAGTTAAATTACAGACGCCTGCTTTGTGAAGCTCTGCTGAACCGAATCGTATCTTAGTCCAGGTGTGTGCTGCGCTACCTGGTCTCCTGGCCCAATGACAAACACTCCCCCCAGGATGAAGCCCTCGCCGTTCATGTTGCCCTGGTAACCTGACCTCCAGGCCCGCATGAAGTTCTGCCACACGCCGAGGCGAATGAACCCCAGACCCCCCATCTTCCTCTGCAGCGGACCGTAGAAGAGTTTCTGTAATCACATGGTTTCAGTTCAGAAACAGACAATATGAGATCAACGTAATTTTTTTCTATTTTTGAATTCACCACATGATTTTTTCTCTAATAAAATATTTATTTACTGATTCTTTATCACTGAACCTAGTAGCAGATAAATGCAGAGGGAATTTCTCATTTTTTTATAATATAGATATGCAACTTGTTTTCATTCCCCTGTAATCACTAATGATGAATAATCTATTACCCGTAGAAAGACTGTTAAAATGATGTTAAGTGCAATTGAATGGTCATGACATGTTCCACTAATAAACTACAAGATCCACACCCAAGCTCTATAGAGATTCAATTGTTTGGCCATGATTTGTGATAAATCAGTTGATTGTTTAGGTAAAAATCTTTTACCAAAAACATCCATTCTGCTGGTTTTATTACTAAAAAATGTCAGTTCTTCTAATTATTTTCTTTTACAGAACAAAAATTTATTTTATTCACTTCCAACTTGGTTTCGAATTACTGCTCAGACTTGAATATGTAAACCTGGGGTTTTTATAAACCAGATTATAAAAAGCCCAAAAAAAAATGAGGCTGAAACTATGAGGTCTGACTTTCTACGTGCAAGATAAAAACTTGATGAATGATAATGCAAGCATGAGTCAAATAGAGCTTGCTGCATCTGTGCTGCATCTTTATAATACCGCAACACAGGAAAACATCTCTCTTATCTTACTATGAGAAAAAGGAAATAATACGAAACTGTGAAAGGACAAGATCTGATGCTAACCATTTCATCTACGTAGATGTCCCCAGCAAAGTGCGGTCTGAAGTCCTGGATCTCTGTGCCGACGTTCTCCTTTATCACGGCGACCAGAGGGACCCCGAGCTCTTCCAGCTGGGGCTTCAGAGAGGACAGCTCAGAGGCCTCCTACAGAGAGAGAGAGAGATAATACCATCAGAGAAGATGTGACGGAAATACACTCTGAATAAAAACTCAGAAACATGTGATCACCTCTCTGCACAAAAATCATCCAGGCCGTCGTACGGCCATGACCACGGCCCCGTTCGTCTCCCACAGGCTCCTTGCTTTGATGACTGTGGCATCTGCAGCCAAAACAAGAAACAGTTTCGAAAACAAGTTCCTCTTCAGCAAACACCTGCAAGAACTTATTCACACTTTAGTGCGGAAGATACAAATGTAGCCTTCAAATGGAGATAAAGATCTTGTTCATGGTCACAGGGAACATGTATATGCTGAATATGCTTATGAAGAATAACACAGGGCCTTCAGCTTCAGGCTAAGTGATCTAATCTGTACAACCAGCTGATTTAAGAAAGCAGCTTAGCCTTATGTGCAACATACAACACATCATTCACTACATGTACAAAGAATGCCCCTCATGCAACAGTAAAGAAAACTATGAATGGTCGATTCTTGTGCTGATGTACTGTTAATTCCTAATGGGTTTATGGGTTGTTAAGAATAAACAAGATTAACATAGGGTGACACTATTAAAACAGCCAATCAGAAAGCCCACCTACCATCTACGGTGGAGCGCAGGTCAGCATCTCCCAGGTTCTCCAGCGATGCCTTGGCAGCTTTATGCAGACACAAATCAGTGTTGGCCAGGAAGATCCCGGCCAGGGCGGCTCCGACAGCCCCCAGACCCAGCGACCACATCCCCATCCCGAACAGTTCCTCCTCCAGCCCAGAGGAAAACACTGCAGCACAGAGAGCGAAAAACATGTGAGCAGGTCACAATGCAAAAACAACTTCTACATTTTTTTTGCAGCCTTAAAAAAGAAAGAATATATGGACATCTGAAACTTTATTTTACAACCCTCTTCTTAATGTGAAACAGTGAATTACACACTGAGAATAAAAGGAAAAACATGAGCAGAGAAAATAAAATAGATAGAATCATATACTTAAATAGGATTATTCAGTGCAAATAAGAATCAATAATTTGTAAAAGCTTTCATAAAAAGAAACGTTTTAAGAAGGGATTTTAAAGAAGCTAGAGAATTAAGAGAAATCATTAAAACACACATTTGCAGATTTTGTCTTGAGCAAAGTTCGATATCATTCCATCAACTTACTCTTCTTTTCACTGCAACATGTTTTCATTTATTCACTTATCAAACAGGAAATAAATAAGACTGTTTACTGTCACATAACACCAAGAAAATCATTTTTGCCTTAATGAAGCGGTTTCAGCACAGTCATGTTTGGTTGATTAGACTCTGGCCTGAAGTTAATCTTAAGATCTAACTATTTATGAGACATTAATCTTGCAAGCTCTGATTGTTTGGGTTGTGACAGAGAACAGTTATCAGTCAAATGCTACATGTCCTTGCCTGGAGGGGGCTTGTTTGGCTCGGGACTGGATTTGGCTCTACTTTGGTGAAACAGAGCTCTGTGGGTTCTTAAAAACTGGGGCCATGCTGTGGAGGAGGACTGGCTGCTCACGGTAACGCTCCCCAGAGAGAGGGCAGAGCAGTGCATGGAGAGAGACCTCCTCACAGATGGGGAGCATCTAGACAGAGCCAACATCTGGACCAGGAAAAAAGCCTGACTATACACCCCCCCTCAAGATTTCACTGAAAGAGAGAAACACACAACATCTTGTCTATGAAAGTTAAACCAGCTGTGCCATGCCAGAAAAAAACATCCCATCTGTACTGCAGTCCAACTTTCAAAAGGCCCACCTTTGATTGCATGGATTAATTCAAGATTACACAAACAGTTAAACTGCTCAGCCAGGTTTTTTTAAAGTTATCACCCTGCAGAGCGTGAAAGGTGTAGATGAGACCAAGATAAAGCTGAAAATGTGTGGTTGACACAAATAAATCTTCCGTTCCGAAACGTCAAGTTCTCTTGTTTGTCAAGTAAACATAGCAACACACAGAGTGAACTGAAAACTCAAAAGTATAAGAATAAGACACAGATGTCAATGCACTGTGCACTATTCAAAATTACCAGTTTTGCAGATATTACACACAAGACGACAATATGTTTTAAGAAGATCAAATAATAATAAAAATAATACCTGCATTTGTATAGCACTTATCTAAACACAGTTACAAAGTGCTTCGCAAGAAAAATAATAAAACCCATGGCTAGAGGAAGAATAAATTGTAATAAAAAGGTAATTCAGTAAAAAATTTTGAGCCACGGAACAGGTTGTTGTGGTTGTTGTAATGAAAATAATAACTTTAATTGTACCTTGGTGTAAAAGTATTTATCTTATATCGTATCCATCTTATAAGAGAAGAAATAATTTATAAGAAATTATTTATACTAACTTTTTTCAGTTTCCAAAGTGTGAAGAAGATACTCTGTCGCCTGAGACTCAGCTCATGAATCTCAAAAATGCATTTGAGAACTGACAAGTGGGAGGAGGAAGAGCTGAAAAATGCAAACAATAGAGAGAAAGAGGGAGTAAGAGAGAGAGAGATACACCCCTATCTGTGACACAAACAAGCGTCTGGTTTTCATGAATGTGTGTGCAGCAGAGCGCTAAGCGAGCCACCAACACTGCTACTGACACATGATGAAGAGTTGCACGAGGGTCATTCCACCTCAAATCATCTGACACTCGTCACACTGTCACACACATGAATGACATTTAATCAGCAGTGGATAATTTTGTCGGATTTTAAACGTGTTTTTCTATAGAACTGCTTTCAGTGGTAGCACCTCTAATTCAGTGATGCTTTTCTCTTGTGTCATGAAAACAAAGGGTTTCTAATCTGTTCTATGTGATACTTTACAATTTGTTGACTATTTGCACAGAGACATATTTTTACCTCTGTAATTATTGAGTGCTTCCCTTGCCTTGTATTTCTTATTATGTATTAATCCTTTTAATTTCTGTGGCAAATATCCTGGAATATGTGAAACAGCTGAGGGTGAAAGGAGAGGGAGGAGGGAGGAGGGAGAGGGGCTGAGGGAGAAAATGAGTTCAAATTAGGGTTGGAGGAGAATAATTATTAAATTACAAGAAGGGAAATCAATGAAATGAAAAAGGTTAATTTGATCATTTGATTAGTGAAGGGCTCTCCTCTAATATTTTGTGATTTCACATGAGAAACCAGTGGAAACCAAATGTTATCCTCTTGAAGGGAAATGTGGCCTAAGAAAGCGTGTTTGACTTTGACTGGTCACATCTCGTTTGACAGAACAGTCCAACGTGTAATACTTCAGTAACTGTAATAAACAAAACAATGGTGACTTGCATCTTTGACACACGAGCTGATATTTGGTGTATTAATAATCCCGCAGCTGTAAATACATGTTTGGTATCTTGCTGATTTAGAAACAGTAAACGCAGTAAAGGTGAGGTGGTGGAAACTCTGACCCTGACATCCCACAGGACACAGGTGATGACCTTGATCCGATCGATTCGTAATCACTGACTTCTCCTGCAGTTAAAACTGTGACCGAAGAGAAACATTACGATCAGAGGCCTCGGGGTTATTACACAACCCAAACACACTGTCGGTGCCCTGCAGAGTTCACAGAGTTGCTGTCAGTGCTGCGGGACAGACGGCGGCTACATTAGCATTCAGCTAACTGTGGTGCCTGTGTTCGGCGACTGTGTCAGTAGCTAACACAGACACAGCACCTGCACACAGACCGTCTGTCGACATGTTATTATAGTTGCAGGTCAGTTGATTCACTCACCTCCGCCAATGAAGCAGCACCGACCCGATCACACGCAGGAGAGTTAAACGATCCAGAGGCACAGAGCGCAGGGAAACTAATAGAACAAGATGGCCGGATGCTACAAGAAAGTGCATTCAAGTGTTGTCGGAATAATAGTAAAAATGAGCTCCCGGCTATTTTTTTAAGTTAATCAAATAAAAACAACAAAAAGAGATAAAAGGTATAACGTTGACAACACATTGTACATATAGAGTAGTGAGATATATATGTGTAGAAATGCAAGAAAAATC